CAGTTAAAACAAATTCAGTACTGCAGTTCAGTGTTTTATTGTCCATTGAATCAAGAGACAAGAGATTAAAAAGACAGTAAAGTCTTCAGTAAAAAGACAAAGTTAATACGATAACTGAATTTCCAAATATAACAATATAGGGCGATAGTAACAACATTCCAAAAGCCCTCAAAGCTGTAAGAAAATGTAGTGTTTGTAATGAGTAAATTAAACAATTTTGTTGTAATAAAAGAAGTCATGTATGTTTTGTCAGAACTCCTGTAGACAGAAATGAATGACCATTTTTCTTTCTGATCCCTTACCACAGACACCACCATGGATCTCTGCCCGAGATTAAAGAGTCAACTCTGACTTCCCTGGTTCTGTAATTAGCGTGGTGCTGGTATGTTTTTGAAGGCTTATAGTATTAAGAGTAAAAAGGCTGAAAATAGTTAGGAAAGAGGAAAGCCCATTTTGATCATGATTGTAATTGCATTTTTAAGATTTGTCTGGACATATCTCCATGATATTTGAATTTGGTAAACTGATTCAAAAACTGCACCCACCCATGCCATCCCTCCCCCAAAAGTACAAGCAAAGATTTTGTTGGTCCAGCCTTTCAAGTCTAAAGGTAGCCGTCTTAAGGTAACAGATGATGGTCAATTATTATCCAAGAGCAGCGCTGATGCAGAAAGCCTTGCTCCCTTTCCTAGATTTATTCTTGACCAGAGACTGTTCTTCCTGGTGTACTCATCTCCCTGGCTCCAACTTCTTTGCAGGTCTGGATGGAACATACTGAAAAGAGGGACCTTCTACACAAAGATCTGCAAATTCTCTTAAAGGTCTTGTAAATCCTTCATACTATTTAGTGGTATCTGACTAACACAGAACACTATTCAATTTCATTAATAACCTTTTGAAGACTTCTTCTGAAGAAGGTTTTCCAGCTACAATAGGGAATGCATTACACCTATCATGCCTCTACGTCAGGAAGCTCCACTGCGTTTTGCAGAGGCCTGTGCGTTGCTGCATGCCAGTAACAATACCGCAGTTGAGCTATCAAGTCTGTATGTCATTCACATGCGTTCTCCCCAGAACATGCCAAGTTAAAACGGGAGAATTGTACATCTCCCAGAAAATCCTTTCGCCACCATTCCATGTAAGATTTTTCTTAATTTGCCTGGCCATTCTTATGGACTACATATAAATTATTGTCACTTTCAAGATAAAATTATTCAAAAAGTAAACTGAAGATTTTTCCCACTTAAAACAGAACTTTATACAAATTGTATTGGCTCCCAAATTCTTAATCCAATATATTTCATAGGTTGGTTTCGTTGGAAAAAAAGGAGGCTTCTGCATGTTTCAAAACAATACTTGCAACAAAAGCAAAAAATTTACACAAATAACAAAATCTCATACTCAAAACAGAAATAAGTTACTATAGTAACATTTTCTGTAATAATTAACAAAAGCGCTCTACAAATTCAACTACATTAAATGCTATTGGAGAGCAATGTCAAAATACCTAAGTAATATACATTACAAGCCAGGCAACAGACACCAATATAATTAGTGCTCTGCATTTACAAATAGAAGCCCATAAATAATTCAGCCATTTAATTTTTCTGTAGATTACACTCAGGACTAAAAAATTCCCACACAGATGCTTCCTGCTGCAATACAAGAGTTAGCACAATATATTTACTTTTCCTCCTGAGGAACAGCATTTGTGTGCAACTAGAGAAGACTTATTTCTGATGTATCATAGGTCACAAATAAATATTGCAATTGTAATTTAGATCTTAAGACTCAGGTTTCCAGTTTAATGTTCTGCAGAGTTGCAGAGGACGTAAGATTGTAACTGCAAGTAAAACTTGCAATTTAGGAATATAAGCATACAAGTATGCGAAAGCTACTGCTTATATTTAGCAGGAAGGGAAACTTATGCCAGATTAACTGAAACACATTTATACGGAGTAAACAACTTACTTGAATTAGCCTTTAATCTTACCACCACAGGAATGGAGACAAAAATCCGTGATGTAGTCAACTTTGTAGCAGCACAGATACCAACATTCTAATTCTAAAATTTATATTCAGTTAAAAAAAAAAAAGCCAAAACTACAGGCTCCATAATCTGACTTAAAAAAAAATGGGTAAGCATAATGTACGTGAAAAGTAGTCACCACTGACCAAAATGATTTATTACCAACATGGGTAGGAAAACTGATTTTAGGCCAGGACATCTCATTACACTTGGCACAAAGTAAACAACAAAAATGTGATCAATTGCAGAAGAATCTTGCATTCCAGGTTTAAGACAAGAGCATGATGAGTACAAATGGAGATATGAGGAAGTCGTGAAACTATAACCGGGCAGTGAATCTCAATACATCAATATCCCATCAGTTCTCAGGTCTTAGAAATCACCATGAAATGGAAGTTGTAAGGAAGACAAAATTAGCTCCTTCCAAACAAGAATGGCAGCATGAAAGAAACAGCAAAATGAATATTCAAAAATTGAAGTAGGGTGGCAAATTTGTCATTATGAGTCAGTTGTAGCTATGCATTAACGTTTTGACAGTACAGTGTTCAAATGGATGTTAAACATCAGACTGCCTCTTTTATCTTATACTCAGTAAAGCATAAAAGCACTCTTAGATAAACCATATAGTGAACTTGCAGCCTTGAACTTGAGAAAATGAGTGGAAAAATGTTGGTATAGTTCTAGAAAAAACCTTACTGCTTCCATATACAGCTAACAGTAGCTATGGCTTTGTAGTTCTTTTCTCAGCGTATAATGGATAAATACCATAAAACCAGGCTCCAGGATAGAACAGACTTCATGTACTGAAACAACAAAAAAAAGGTTGTCTTGGTACTTCCCTGAATGCTATTAAGCCAGCCTATATGCAAAGGGAGTAATTAAAAAAGTTCTTAGCTGTGCCACACACAACTTGGATGACTAACACTAGGGGAAAAAAAGTGTTCATGGTATATATGCTCACTTTACCACTATTTATTTCTCCATTTAACTCAAGCTTCACACAGAAAAAAATTTTAGTCAGCATTAGACTCTTGTTTCCTTGTCTTTCAACTTGAAAAGATTTGGAAAAGCTTTTAAGTCAAAATCTTTTCTACTCATCAAGTGCATTTCAAAGACAATTCTAGTAATTAAAAAGCTTTCCAAATATTTTTTCATTGTCTCCTGAATATATTTCCCAATACTCTTATTAGAAATTTAGATTAAAATTTATCTGACATTTTAGATCCTCCTGATCTAAATTTAATATCAAAGCTTTCAGCCAAAAAATAGGTTAAAAAAATACTCAAATCAGCATAAATATTGACCGAGAAGTACCGCTTGCAATTAAGAGTTTCTCATACAAATAAACAATACAAATACAGTCTTCTTGCTCCTTCCCCTTCTCAAAGAAACTCTGCAAAACAGAACAGAAACCCTGCAGTACATGATGTTTATGCTCTACCACAAACTCATGCAAGTTGTATGCTAGCACACGAGGTAGCTAACATAGCAAAAGATAACACTTAGGCTTAAGGGAAAATAGAAAAGACAGGATGTCTGGCAAAATTAAAGACAGCCTTCATTATATGAATAATTTTGTAAACACCAGGTATTTTACAACACTGTCTCCTTATGTAGCGAATGTCTTCTCTGAAGAATATTAACAATGAAAGTCTGAACAGCAGGCTTCAAAGTAAATATATAATCATGCAGTCTTCCCTCATCCTCTGAACCTCTTTCATATTATTACAGGCAATGCTGCCTGCCTGTTTCTACACTTCCTGTAGACTTCCTAGGACTAGGAAAATACTATGTGCATTTTTTCTTCCCTGTTCAACTAGTTATTAAAAAATGTAATGCTGATGAGGTAGTGTTTGACTTAATTGTTTTACTGCTCAAGTGTCAATAAACAATGTCATTTCTGTAATGGTTTTCTACAATGAAGACAGAAGTGTAGGCACAATTACCAAGTCACAGAAGCTTTTAAAAAAGCCCTACAATTCCAATAAAATTTTATGCCTGCTAAACCACTGAAATGCAAGTCATCTACTCCACTATGAACGAAAAGCTTTCCTCACATCAGCAGTAATAAAGAAAACCTGACAGTAATAATCAGAGAAGCATTTTAAATAACCACACTGCTTTCAAGCCACATCCTTAAAAAAGGACCTGATCCTACTCACACCTACTCACGTTACTAAACCCTGTTACCTACCTGAATAACCCTACTGATTTTAAAAGTTATATAATTTGTAAATTCAGTCTTTTTTTTGTAAAGGCACTACAGGTGGACTACAAATGTTTCATGTATCTGAAGCACATCATCTTCCACGGTTGTATCTAAACTGGTTTTGTGACACTTTACCCAGTGCGTTGGCTGTGTTAATCAACTACTAACCTTCCTGTCAAGGCAGAAAGATTTCTAATCAGCAAGAGAAATGAAGTACTGGAATAGCATTCCGATAGGTCTTCACTAGTCCACACTTTCTTTTCCAATAGAGCTGGAAATGTTTACTAACAGGACTGTATGTAATGACCACAGAGAATCGTAAGGCACTGAATTCTGATACTGGAAATCTATGCAGTCCTTCACACTACAATTGCAGGCACCTGGTGTGTATGCTGGGTAAATTTTATAGCAGCAGAACCTAGTGTATGAGTTTGCAGAATCTACAAATAGACACCAATGAATAGATGGTTCCACCAATGCTTTAGTATGTTTTTTTAAAATGTTCTCTAAAATTCATCATATGTTCTAAAAATTATACCCACAAGTTGTAACCATTCTTAGCATTTGGAAGGAAGCCAGATTTTTGTTCATGGAATAAAGCTTGTTTCTATTATGTTATGTCACCTGGAGAAATCACAATAGCTTTTCCATTTATGGAATTGAATTTCACTGGTTTTAATGGGGTTGTTACAAATATACACAATCAATAAATTAAAAGAACCTATTCCTTTCGAACACATAAACAGAAGTAATTATTTTTACCAGATCCCAGTCTATGCTGCGGAAAAATGTGTGGGACTTGATATCAGAAAATCCTGTCTGTGGCTGACAGCCAAGCCTTTCTTTGGGATCCTGCAGAAAACACAGACATTCGTATTACATACTCTAAGCCAGTTACAGTCAACGTTTGTCAAACACACACATACATGACTCCAGCATTCCGTATTGCTATGCAAACTGCTGCTTAAGACACACGTTATGGCCACCAAGGGATTTCAGTTGTTTGTGGTTTTTTATTGAAATTTGTTTGAAATATCATTTTCAAATTACATTTTACAACTTCTCAAAATAAAAAGCCCACTGGATTTATTTAGTAACATATAATTCATATCCTTCTTTTTCCCATTAAAAAAATTGTCATGGTTCTATGGATTTCAATCAGCTTAATTGAGTAGTAAGTATTACAGAAAAGAGTTTAAAAACAACTATAGTTTTTTTTTTTGCACTAGGTGCAGGCTTTTCAATCAAGTCTATGCTGTGGAATTCCCTCAGTAAGTTAGCAGTTAAGTGCTTGTGTTTTGGGGTTTTTTTAAACATACAGGATACCAAGGTTTTATAGATTTTCTTAATAGTAAGCAGATTAACTTCTTAACTGTATTGCTTTCAACAGGAAGCTCTGACTTCCAGATCTTAGATGCTAAAAATAAGAGAATGTTATTTACCTTGTTTAAAAATCCTTTTAACACATGGGAAGCCTTGACAGAAAGAAACCTTGGAATCCGGATTGGCTTCTCAAGAATAACTGTTACAGGTTTAAAAACAGCAATATTGTTTTTTGTTTTATGACATTGACCGTGATTTCAATACAAACACTATATTATTTATGTTATCACTTGGAAAATGGGAAAATACAGCAATAATTTAAAATAACGCGAACAAAAGGAGCTGCAGTAACTGAAGGCACTGTTACATTTCAAGATTTCCTAAGAATGTAAGCTTCATTATCTTTTTCTATTGTTTGTAGTAAAAATAGGGAACGAAACTTCTTCAGTGTCCTCAGTATATAGCAAGTAATTGATTTAACATTAGGCTCGTCAAGACGACCATAGCTGCCTGTTACCTAATTGCAGCAACTAGTTAAAGAATGGTTCTGCCTATTAGGGAGTAGGTAACATTGCAATTCCCCAAACTGTTACAGAGTTTCTATTGTAATAAATATTGCAAGTATTACTACTTTTGTTTAGAAAAATTCATACATCATTATTCCTGAAAGGGAAAACTGTTTAAAAAAAAAGAGATACATTAATTGCATCATAAGTTAAAAGAAGTTAAAAGTTGACTGGAGCAAAACTACAGGTTGATATGTTTCTGTCAAGAAAGATCCTGCTATCCTCTCATGTAGCACTGAATTTAAAATTCATTCTTGGCCTGTGGACTGCCTTCTAACACAGATACCATTCTGTACAATTTCTGTCTGTTATTCTGAACTGTGCACACTTAAATATTTTATTCTTGTAATTCCTGACCATTTTATCCAAGTTCAACAAAATAGATTCTTGGTATGATGAACTAGAAATATTGGGGACCTTTATCTACAGTAGGTCTACAGGCAGCTATGGGATAACAATGGAAAAGGAAAATTTAACTGTCCTACTGGAAGTTCTCATTTTCATTATTCCTCTCCCAAGAAAGAAAAAAGTAAGTATCAAAATGACTATACCTTGGAAGAGGTAATCTTCAGTGTTCATGTCTGGATTGTCAGTAATAATATCAAATGGAGACCTTCCTGCCATCATTTCAAACATCAACACACCGAGAGCCCACCAGTCCACACTGAACCCTGTAAATATTTGCAGAGCAAATTTTCAGCCAGAACTCCTTGAATTTAGGTGTTCTCTCTCATAAATAAGGATTAATGGCATGGTTCTAAAAAGTACTGAAATTCTCCACTTTCACTGAAGCCACAGACATCACGATTTACACTAACATTGGATGAGACTTGAGAGAGTTTTCTGAACTGCGATTACAAAGGTAATCTGTATGAGTTTGTAGGTATCTGCCAGATAGCAATGCCTCAATGAAAATTCAGTGTATTTAAGCTGAAAATATTCAGGTTGGTTTGTTTTTTGTTTTGTTTTTTTGTTGAAGAATTTGAACATTATAGTATAACTAAATGACAGATTCAGCCTATTGATCAGATCAGTTCACAAATAACAACACTGGTTAAAAAGACTATTATACCTTTGACTTCTGCATTAGCAATAACTTTTTCTTATAGCATTCTATAACCTTGACTGGGGGACAATAGTAGCTGGTATGTCAAGTTCTTCAAGGAGTGGACTTGGTTTTGCTACAGTAGAGTTTAATAGTTATTTTTCAGGGAAAGTATGATTTAAAAGCAGCTGAAATGAGTGACTGCAATAGAAAAAACCAGTAACAACCTTATTTCAGAAAAAATTAAACTGTAAAATATGCATTCAACTCCCTCAACACATAATGGCACAAAAATGTGGAAATCTAAAAATAACATATTTGAACCAACCTACAACTAGAGTTTTGCTTTGTGATTTATAACTACAAATTGTTTAGTCACAGCTTACCATATTCTTCTCCTCTGAGGATCTCTGGTGCAATATAATTTGGTGTCCCACAGAAAGTGCTTGTAGTGTCACCAGGGCCCAAACCTTCCTACATGCATAAATCATTTCATAAATTAAAAGCTGACCTCCTTTTTAGGGAATTTCCCTTATTTAGACTTACAAAGCCAAGTTCCTTTGGGAGTCTAAAGACCTTTCTTTCAGAAAAGGCAACGCTAGAGCAAAATAAATACTCATAGTGCTCAAAGCTGGCTTATGACTTTACAGCTTATCTTCAGCAAATTAATTGATTAAAACCAAGTCACACATTTGTAACAACATTTTGCTTACTATTTACAGATACATTAAAAAAAAATCAGCTCAAAAGCAATTTGGAAGTCCTTTTCCAACAGCTGTTGGGGAAAAACCTTCTATTTTTAGGAATGAAGGAATCAAACTTTTACGTAACTGCCGCATTCCATGTGAAGCCCCGCAACCTGTTGTGCACTTTGATAGTGGAGAAACATTCTACTCCAGCATTCTTAGATATTGGTGCAATATCTATTCTATGGAGGAAATGAGACAAGCTTTCCTCATTACGTCACCATAACATGCCTTAACCATGTTCTGAAATAAGTTAAATAAAAATTAGTATTAACAGTCAATCCTTAGACTTTTAAAAATCAATACAACACCAGTTGCAATTTTGGCTTCAGAAACTTACTTTCATGAAGAAAAAAAGTGGTCAAACATTGGCACAGGCTGCCCAGGGAGGTGGTAGAGTCACCATCACTGGAAGTGTTCAAAAAAACACATGGATGCGGCACTTCGGGACATGGTTTAGTGGGCTTGGTGGTGTTGGGTTGATGGTTGGACTTGATGATCTTAAAGGTCTTTTCCGACCTTAATGATTCTGTGAAATAGACTGGACTCTAACCTCATTTCACATACTAGCCAGAAACAGTGTGGCAATAACAAGACAGCTTGAGGTCAAATCAACAGCACTTAGGCGACAGTAGATGTCTTGTCAGATTACAACCACTTCACTCGTGTTTGGCATTCCAACTTTACACACAAATTTTAAATTTAGTATCTTCTACACTAGTATGTCCTACTGAGGACTTCTTGCTTTCCTCTGCATCATGTTAAGTACATGCTACCTTCTACCAGGTACTTTGAAAGCAGCGCTCTCTAAATTGCCTCTCAGTGCCAAAGACTGCAGCATAAGAACGGAGATAACAGAGAGCACCTATTGGTTAATAATCTGTACAGCCCAGCCACAGAGAACGAGTAACGCAATTCATGCTCACAGCAGCACAGCTACTAAGAGATGGAAAAGACCCTTTTAAAAACATACTTGTCTTAAATATATTTTTTCTAACTTGGGTCACGTAGGAAACTTTAATAGAGAAAAGAAATTAACTTGGCCAACAGACAAAACTTTTGTCCCCAGAAATGACCCACATAACTTGAAATACACAAAGGAAAAAATTACAAATGTGGTTCTATTTTTCAACAGTAATTTTTCAGAATAAAGTTCCTATTCCACAATCAAATTCTGGGGTCAGTAACACTAGTGTTAAGATAAGGATAAGTTTTCTCAGTTTTCTCTTAATATCATTGGATGCAGCATTTGACTTAAAAGCATAGCCAGAGATATACACTACTGAATGACAAAGTGACAAAAGAAAGGTAAGAAAAATCCAACCTTGCACATGCCATAATCTGTTAATTTGATATGACCCTCTGCATCTAAAAGAACATTGTCTAGTTTTAAATCTCTGTAGATTATGCCTCTTTCATGTAGGAAGTTTAGAGCAATACAGATTTCAGCAGCATAAAACCTGAAATTAAAAAGGAGAAAATTCTTATTAGCTTTAAGATTGTACAAAAGCTGGTGTAAGTAGAAAAATCTGTTCTCAAAACATCACTTTAAAGTCAGCTTTCCTCTATCAACAGCATACCAAAGAGAAGCTACATTTATTCATTAGGACACTGATCTCGCATATTGTAAAACCATTCCTTAAATTAAATATGGGAAATTGTTTTTTCTTTCTACTAATTAAGAGAAGTATGACATAGAAGATCTGTATTAATAATTATTAGGAATTATAATGAAACTTTGTTTAGTGCAAAGCTATGAGAAACAGATTTTTCCTTTTCTTCTACCAACACTATATTTATTCAACATAAGACCAAAATAAGTAGAATAGTCACATCTTCTATCAAGAGATCAAAGAAGCATTACTTAAATATGAAGCAATAAACAAAAGTAAATGGGAATAACTGTTACTGCTAATCAAATGCTTGCTTTCTTAAAAAAAAAAGTAAAGAATTAACTTTTTTTCCCAGGGCAGTACATTCTAAACTTAAGAATCATCCTTTTGTTCTTTCTTTGCTATCCATATACTTTTATGGAATAAAGTTTGGAAAGCATTTCATACAACATTAAACACCACCACAAGAAAACCACTATAACTGTGTTAGTGAAATACCTTGCATGTTCTTCAGGAAGTTTTCTTTGCCGTTGCATATGAAACATAAGATCTCCCCCATTTACATACTCTATGACAAGAAACAATCTGAAAGTATATAATACAATTAATGGATTCCAAGGAAACTCAAGGAAAACTATTCTTATCCTTCCAATTTGAGTAATGTTCACTTCCACTTTTAGAATTAGACTTCTATATTTCTAATAGTTACAGAAACTATTTAAGAGAAAAAACAGAGAGCACCTATTTGATCCATGTTATGTAGGATCACATCCTTTATTTAAATGCCAAACTAAACATAAAGGAGAGGCAGCTGTGTACAACAGGCTACTATTCGGTGTTAAAGCTGCAGAACTATTTAAACAGTACAGAAGACAACAGCATTTGCCTAATATAATGAGGTCCTTGGCAATAGATGTGAAAAAAACCTCTAAGCATATAATGATATATAGACTTCTTAAAAATTACTTAGAAATAACAGCAAAGTCACAGAAGTATGCTAGAAGATGATACATGGCAAAAACTGAAGTTTATCAAAAAAGGTAATATTGTCATTAATTTGAAAAAGACATAACAACAACATAGTTACATGACTATCTCTTATTCGCTAGAAGATGATACATGGCAAAAACTGAAGTTTATCAAAAAAGGTAATATTGTCATTAATTTGAAAAGGCATAACAACAACATAGTTACATGACTACCTCTTATTCAATGGTGTTGATTCTTTTGACTTTTATGGAACGAAATTCCACAGTATAAAATTTGCTTAGTGAGTGCATCACTTTGAGTAACAAAATCTGACTAAAAAAAAGCCTGTCTGAAACAAGGCTGATTATTTAAAATATAGGATTTAAAATTAAAAAATACTTTAAAAGATGCATCAATTTAAATTGAAACCTTTCTTATTAAAGGGTAATGAATTGGTAATCTGACACAGATATACCCGGATGTAATAATTATTCAGTTTTCATCCTACTTGACTAAATATTCTTCTTTGTTCATAGTCAACCTGCAGCACCAAATCTGATCAGCTTTGTGGATGAAGTGTACTTTACATAGATCTAAGCCAACAAGGTTTCTGCATGGGCAAAGTCTGAAAATTCTCAATTGTATTTTTTTATATACTTTTGCCACTAAAAGGACATAATCTTTTAAAAATTACTTCCTCATTAACAATAATTAATAAGTATCTGGCAATATTACAGAAATCAGTATGTTTTGTAGGATTTGTGATATTAATTAAATATACAACTATGAAGCTTGCTGTTTGTGCTGGTTCAGTTCCTGAAAAACTCAAACAGATCTACTGAAAGCAAGATGACAGAAGATTCACTTAGAGGGACGTAACCCAAATTTACCTTCAAAAAAAAGTAAGTTTTATCCAAATAGCATATGGCACAATAATATTTTTCCCAAGTTACACAATCTAGCATATTATTAATATACACATACAAAACTATTTCTATTAAACCCTATGACCATCACTGCACTCTTCCTGATACACTGTTAAGAAACATACTGTCATTCCTAGAAGGAGGAAAAAAAGTTCTCAGTTTATCTATACAAATAAAACCAACTAAAGAATTTGAAGACTGAAAGACTCAATTAAAAGATGTCCATTATGAGAGATGAAAACTAAATTGGGTGAGCTAGCAGGACAGATAATGAAATCCTACCCTCCCTTGACTTTGCAAGACCTTTATCTGTAGAAAAAGGTGAATTAAAAGAAAGTGTAATGGACCCACTTTTACGCTCTACATAACATATTCACTAAATGGAAGATCTGGACACAGAAAGGCTGCAGCATCAAGGCTTATTAGCTCCTCTGTAGAACAAGTTTTTGAAGCAGTCTTCTCAAAACAAACAAGAGACAAGTCAGTAGGGGAAAAAATATAAGTGGAATCAGCCATATAAAAAGACTTCTATTACAGTTTGCATTAAAGGTTTCGTCCTTGGGAAAATATGATCCAGGCAGTGCTGCCAAGGTCAGGGACAGAAACATGCTGAGAAAGAGTTTCTTATGAAGGTTGCAGCTGTCCCAGGAGGCAGTATTTCCTCATACACCTAATTTTCCATGAGTTGAAAACTCATTTCCATATATCCACACACTAGAAAACATTCCATTTGGAAAACACATGCTCCAATCTCTCCAACAATTCTAACTGGTAACAATTAAAGAAGGTTGGTTTGGTTTTTTCCCCCTTTGAAAAACATTCTTCATTTAAAACACTTAAACTGTTAAAAACTTAACCCAGCTTGCAAGTCTGTCAGTGGCCTCCCCATAAGAATATAAACACTAAACTAAAATTAGATAAACAATAAACAAATATATAACAATGCCACAAGTATTTTATTACAGCATTCCTGATATTTTATGCTTCCAACTTTCCTATCCTATTTAGAAGCTTCCAATGCTTTATCCCCATTCAGAACCTGCAAATTAAAGTTCCTTGTGTCAAGTCACATTCAAGCACATAACTCTCTGAATACTGCTAGCCCTTGCTGTTTTTAGAAGGATTTACTCAAACATCAATGGTTTTGCAGGATGCAGGTTTCAGATTGTTGCCATCCTTGGAAGATACTTATCTGGCAATTCTGGGCAAGACCAAGGCACATATTTTATTACGATAATAAAACAAGCATCACTAGTATCTGAAACAATGCAAACAACTACATTTAGGATCAATTAGCATCTGTTCAAGGACACATTTATTTTATCTTAAGAATTTATTTAAAATTATATTTAAGAGAAAGAACATGTCCCTTGGAACTCTTCCCCTCCCTGTTAGTACACCTACACACAAACTGCTCTCATATTACAACTTGTTTTCTTTGGGCCAGTTCACACAATCTGATGTTGATGAATTTATTTACTTGAGATCAGTTCCGTGCTTCCCTCTGTTCCTGTAATGAAGTTATAATTGTGATTTTATAACATTATAGCTATAACCAAATTGTGAATTCATGACATTATGGCTATACCCATGGCAAATGGCTGAAGTTATAAACATCAAACTATAGTTTCACTGCAAGGAGAACCTAGCCTGGAATAACAGGACTACAAAAGATACAACAAGAATACAGAAAGCTTTGACTGTGTTCAGCGTATTTTTTTCTATTTCTGCTCCTCCTGCTTCTGATCCTTTGTAACACCACAGTGTTAACTACCACAGTGGCTTGCAAAGGATCTTTCCATTGCTGAATTCAGCCTTTTTCTTGTTTCCAATGCAAGAAATATCATTCTCAATACTTCACCCTGCCCAACCACTTGAATTTTTATATTAGATCTTCAATACTACTTAGTGTTTGGTGAGAAGGTGTTTGTGAATGTTGGTTTAACTTAAAGGGCCTTTCACAACAGTTTGTTAGTTGTCTAAAGAGCTTTTATTTGTTTGCAAATTTATTTTGGTCAAATCCTTAGTCACCTTTGAAGATCATTCTTTCTCCCTGCTCCAAAATATTCCCTAGTCCATGTACCTTCAGAAAACTCTTCATACAGCTTCTTTAATTCCTTTATCTCAGCTGTGTTTTTCCTGCTAAGAAAATGCTATTTCCTATGACCCCAGCCATTAAGGGGTTGAAAGTTTGGGGACTGAAGAAATGGTACAGTGCATGGCTCCATATTTTAAAAATTGATAATACACATTGGAACAAACAGGTGATTATTCTTAAGGATAAATGACTAGATAATCCATGAAAACTTCTTAAAACCATTTGTATACTACCCTGCATGCCATTCAAGTAATCCTCATAAAATTACTTTTATCTTTTAATTATGATACACATGGCACTAGGCATTATAAAAGCATAACAGTAAACAGGTGCCTATCAAAAAAAAAAAAACCAAAAAACAAAACCAAACCACAAAAACCCCACACATCCAAATTCCCCAGTGACATACATAAGCATGTATGGGCATAAACGTTCTTGATTTTCTTCATATTCCAATTGCAAAATAAACAGCAGATAATCCACTTTGGATTGTGCACACAAGGACAAAAAGTTAGTATTTCAAAGTAGCTAAGAGTTTATTGAACACTTTTTCAAATTAAATCACATACTTCTTCAATATGTGCTAAGGGCTCATAAGCCTCATATAGATCAAAAATACCTCATGTAGGTTTTTAAGTTATTTTTAAGAAACTGTTATTACTGAGCAGCCCAACTCTTACGCTATTTTGAGGAACAGAGAACTACAGTTTGGCCCTCTGAGAACTGATTCAGCCCTCCACAGTAGAATCGGGTATTATAAACGATCTCTTACAAAGCTGTTTTACCCCGATGCCATCCTCCTATTCCTGAAGCCGCATGGCCTGTGCTCAGGAAGACAACGCACAGTTCCTCCCTGTTCTCATTCATTATCTCTCTTCGGATCTGGACCTGGAAAACCTTGTCTTTCTCTCCACACCACACCGGCTAAGGTACCCTGCTAGAACGGGCTTCGTTGTTTTAGTGAACCCCTGACAAATACTGATGCTTCCTTCCAAAAAAGTTTCTGGCTATGTGATAGCAGTGGTTATGTTTGCTTTATGAGAAGCAGTTAGTACAATGATCAAGATTTTCAAAACAAAATAATTTCAGATCTTTCTTACCGACTTGTTGTTTGAAAGCATGAATGTAAACCAACTAGGAATGGGTTACTGGATGCCTGTTCAAACACATGTTTCTCTGTCTGTACCCAATCAATATCCTGAAATAGAGTAATTGAACAATCAGAACTCCTGCTGGATAACCACTGTGGGTATTCCCAGAAAAGAAATTGTGAACATCTATGCTCCCTTACATATACCGTCATCGTTACATACGTTCTTCAGAAAGACAAAACCCCCTAAAATCTGGAGGAAGTTATAAGACATTGTAATTCAATTACATATTCAGAAGTTTCTTAACCATTTAGAAGGGTCTGCACAAAATTTAAGCCATTTAAAAATATCATACATCTGCAATATTTGATACATTGTTCGTACTGGTTCATAAAAATAAACTCAATTATCTTAGATAAATGATCCTAAGGCTGCTGAAGCAACTCATGCCAGTAACACAAGCAATGTGAATCTCCAGTTTTTGAAAGGTTCAAATAAACTGAACTTCATTTGCTCATCTGAAACTCAAAATTAATTCAATGAAACTATCAAACCCCAATTAGCTTGTCCAACCAAAATAATTCTTGAAAGTATCACAGACTACCTTTAATACTTCAACAAGGAGAAGTCCTGAATACCCAGTGCAATACCATATAATAAAAATCTACCAAAATTTGAATTATACTAGCGTAGTACTGCAAAATTCAGATCCATACCAAAGCATTCAATCATTTTTCATATGGCCATATAGAATTTAAACCTGATGGACAACTGGTTTTAGCAGTAGATACTCACTCTTCACGCCAATACACAGATCACGTTCCACCCTGCAAACACTCAGTACCCTGCCAACAAACTAGAAATATAATTGTTCCAAAAATTCTCCATTTCCACTTTCCAACCAATCTGAAGACAACCAAGACAGATACTGAGAAACCAGGGCTTCCTGTCAAGGATAGGTAGTGAAACTAAAGTCTCAAAGGAAATCACGAAATGTCACCATCAATAAATAAATCTGTTCGGTTCTGTGTTCAGACACACCCGAAGAAACACCACCTTGGAAGGTTAAACCTTGGTCCAAACATGAGCCAAAAAATACAATTTTGAATCAAACAATAAGCATGTCCTCTTCTTTTTGGTTTTACTGAATGAGCTTCTCTTTAAGAGTCTTTGGAGTTACCCATTCAGTATTGTACTTGTGTACCAGTACATTAGTATTATACTAGTGCACTACTGTTAACAAGATCAAGCTTAGAAAAATGTAATAGCAGAAGCCCAGATATTTGATTTGCTCCAATCTCATTTAGAAAAACTACCTTTACTTCTCTCCAATAGGAACCATTACCTGGAGAGCACTAGTTGATTTAAAACATATTGATACTTGCTACATAATTCATTTTCTTTATCCATGAAACACTTACTAGGCGAAATGTCCATTACTTGCAATATCTCATGCATTCACAGAATTCAGTGAATTTCCTATCAATTCCCAGAACGTCATTATACAGCTTATTTTATACAAAAGAAAAACCACTTAGCTCAATCTTCCTATGTAATTATGTATGATATCCACTATTCAAGAAAGACTTTTCTCATCTACCCTCCGATTCTCAGTCACAACTACTTAATTCATTAAATAATACTGCTCTTTAGCTTCTACCTTCTTGGAAAAACACGTGTTAAAAAAGAAACAGTAAATAAACTACACAGTTTAATCTTTGGTCATAAAAAGAGAAGTCAAATATATGACCAAGCCAAAGTATTTTAGAAGAACTTTACAACCTTACTCTCCCAACCCTAGCCTCTAGAGTAATGACAAAAAATGGCAGCCATAGAAACTGATTGAAACTACCAACACAAGTAGTACTTAAAACAATGTGGTTTGGTTTTTTCCAACATCCTACTTTCACAAAATCCAGTTTTCCTAACAGCATAAAATTAATATAACATCATCAGCCTAAAAATTACACTCTATTTGAAAAATTCACTTTATATTGTAAGAACAGCTATATAAGAAATTCCCTACCAGGTGAGACTGATTGTCCATCTCTCTTTTTCCTTAGTTTTTTTACAGTTTGGGAATCCACCCAGAAGGGATGACACAGTACTACTTTACTGTTCAAGTATTTAATGGCATCATACGTTGCGTGCCCCATCTTATACACTGCAACTCCTGCACAAGCATGTCACGCCGCAGCGTTCCAATAAAGCTGGTAGCCTCACAACACTTACTCTGTCAGGTGTCTCAGCTGTTTTATCAGCTGTGGTCTGACCACATGCATTCCAGTTCCCCATCCCCTGTTCCATTACTTAACACAGCAGGTTCCAGTCTAACAGCATTGTAGGTGGTTCAAATCTGCCTTGCTTGCTGTGACTGGCTCATCACATTTACGAAAAAACCAGAATGGATATAAAATCTATACCTTTCAAGAAGTGTGAATATTATAGGAAAAAGATGAAGGGTTGGGCTGTTTCCTCCCTGCCCCCTCCCCCCCCCCCAACTTGTGCATTTGAGATCCTGTGTTAAAAAAATTTCAACAGGACTTTGAAAATAATCGATAAATGCAGCACTGATTTCTGCGGCAGACAGAATTTTTTTTAAAAGCCACTGAAACCATAGTGACCTCAAATGGTAGCAGCATGAGGTTTTTTAAACCCATGGAAAAAATATTCCAGAGTACCGTGTCACCTGCACATAAGCTCTGTAACTGTGACTGTAAGAACAGTTCCAGCTCCTATTTTGAAATACAGACAATACTTTGCAAACAGCTACATTCATTTGCCTTAGAAAACACCTTTGTTTTCTTCTAAAATTAAGTGCCCAAATTCTACCCTAGCTATCTCATTACTTACATATTAGCACATCCAGGTTGGAGTATTTTTCACATGCATTCTACTAAGACTATTAATAAATTGTTAATTGTTATTAAAATAAGGGACACTTCTCTCAGATTTAATCTTGGTGCTTCATTGTAGTTGATAACAAATTAGTTCAAATGTCAGTAAAACTTCCATCACAGAAATGTTGCCTAAAGTCTTCGCTGTTTTCTTAAGTTGGATGTTTGTTAAAGCATATTAAAGTTTTTACGATATGTAATGCAATGCAATTAACACAGACTTTTACCTCATCATCATGGACCAATTCTTTTTTCACTACTTTCATAGCATAAATTTGATCATTCTTTTTTAACCGAACTAAAAGAACTTTGGCATAACTTCCACGTCCGATAACTCTGATTAAATCGAAGTCCTGTAGTCCAAGCCCCTGAGAAATCTTAATTCCATCCATTCCATCAATGACTGGTTTGATATCCTGTATAAAAAGAAACAGATGTTGGAAACAGAAGATTTTTTCATAACAAGTAACTATTAAAGCAAAGAGGTCCCAAAACCACTGGACAGAATTTGCTGAGTTTGCTTGTCATTGTCACTGGCACACAGATTCGAATGGCCAATTCTAACACATTTGTTTAGAAATGTTTGGTTGGTATTGGTTTTGCTCTTACTAAAAGTACTGTGTTTTTCAAGGCAGCCGTTCATTCAATGAATCATTTAACTATGCCGACCAGAAAATAGAAAGCAATGCCTTGAGAAATGAGGTTTCATTCTAATTCTTCAAGCACAGGCCATGTAGAATTATCTTTTGCACTTAACGGAAGACCATCTTTCATATTCTGACAGATATTTTAGTACAAATTTAAAAAAGCTGTCTGGAAAGAAGACAGATAAGGAAACAATAATTTGCTAAAGACCATACCTGTCTTGGTTTGAGTTTAGCCAACAGCTGTCTAACAAGTTCACTACAGTTTTAATGAAAATGTGGATTTCTAATAGGTACCTGGGAACATACAGAAGTGGATGACAATTTCTGAAATGCGAGAACTTGCAGAAAATATTCCACTACAAAGAATGTTATTTTAAAATTAATTATTTAAAAGACAAATTTTGTCTTGACTGTTTGCTAAATTAGATGTGAGTATGTAAGACTGAAGATCAAGCAGTTGAACTAGACAAATGCAGCATGTACTTTGACATTTCATGTTTTACCAATATATACAATGCTTGGACATACTTCTGCGGCCTATTTTTATCTGACCTCACACTACTGTACTTGTAGACAGATCAGCATTCTGCTGAACTATGGAAAGTATTTATATAAAGAATCTTGATCTAGGATTGACTGCTATTAGAAGAGATTGCTCTGAGCTTAAAGATTCTAGTCAACAAAGCTACCAGAATGCCACTTCCTCACTGTAGAATACCTTAAATTATTTTAGTAAAGCTCAAAAGCAAGGTGGGAAAATCAGAGCAGCATAATTCAGGACAGTTGAGCAAACAGCACCTACTAAATTTTTAACACAAACAGTATCTATCTGAGCACTAATCACAGTCCAAGTCAGCAATTCTAGATAGCAATTAAAAAAAGTCTCTGACGTGTTTTAAATTTATACCCTTCCATTGCTGAGTTTGATATAAAAATCTAAAGATACGTGAATGAAAATAAGGCAGTCACTTAACCGAGAACAGGACTACTCAAGTGTGAAATAATCGTAGTGACAAGTATTGTAATGGAGGTAGAGGAAAAAAGGTGCAGGCTTGTTAAGAGTGGGATAAACTAACTGCTAGTATTCTGCAGAGTGCATGCTATTTATTTTAAATATGCCAGAAGCATTTTAAAAGAAATTACTTGAAGCCCTTAAAGTGTATTGGGATTTTTTAAACTGCTTTAAGGGAAGAACATTCTTGGCATGCAGAGATAGTGTTAGACCATCTACAAAAGAGATGGAAAAAAAGAGAGTTTAAGTGTATGTTATTCTACTTGTATTTCCACAGGAGCTGTCTATAAATTGTTAGATATTATTTATATAAAACATCTCAGAGCTGGACAGTTAATGTATTATCAGACTGAACCAACTTTCATAATGATAGCCTGCAGAGGTAGCCTGAGGGTGATAAAGGGTATACATCCATTACAGAGAGCAAACAAAACAATGTCAAAGCCACCATTTGTTGCAAGGACCAATAAAGTCAAACCCTCTGCTAAATTACTCTTGTTCCAACATGAATGGAGGGGCGAAAAAGAAAAAAAAAGTCTCTCTCACATCATGATTGGGATAACAAGAGCTGTATACAGAGGAAACCTGAAAAATCCAACAACAATGCTTTAAAAAAACCCCACCTGTTTTCAGAAAGAAAACCCCAGACTATTTTTTTTTTTTAAAGGTAGTAGAAAAAAATACGACAAATAATAAACTATTTTATAAAAAGTTGTGTGATTAAGAATGTGTAAATATGAATTACAAAAATATTTCTAAAACATACCTCAGAGTCATCTTTAATGTCGTGTTTACGGTTTGAAGGAATGTAGGGAACTGGAAAAGAAAACAAACAAGTAGTGTGGTTAAGGCCTTCATTAGAAATAATTTAAAAAACTGATACATTGAAAGATGATTTAGTAGCTTAGGGTCAACAGTTTGCTTTAAATATTATGGGACACTTGATCAAATTTTTCCACTTATTACTGTAATCCTGACAGCAGATCCTAAGGGCACTGCAGAAACAACCAACTGTGAGATAGTAAGAAATTCATCAGTGAACCTTTGAGTTCATAATAGTATCTGACAAAGGTCAGAGTAATTTTGGAGAATGGGTATGATAAATGGGTCCTTAAAACAAGACAGGTTAAACCATCAAAAATATTAACCTAGGAAGATTACTCCAATTTGCACAAAATTAAGAAATACTTGAAGTCTGAGGGTGCACTTGTATTAACACCATAGTCTGGATCCGAAGTGCATGTTTTCTGTTTCTTTTAAAAAGTAAATCTGTTGTTGCCAGTTGCTCCATGCTTAACTTCACATTCTGGAATGGTTTCAGAGCAAATGAATTGAGGACTAAACCAAACCAGACGATATGTTTCCCGAGTACATTTCCTGTAATTGAGTCCCTAACAAGCATTTTGTCCATGGGACTAAACTAGAGCTAATCCAAAGTAAACTTTAAAAAAACCCAAACAGGTAGACTGGAAACTGGGCCTTCAAGTGGGGTAACACATGAATGCCAACTTAAGAAGAAAGTACTCACTTCCATCAGTTTCTTCTGAAGGGAGGTCAACTTCATCATTTTTATGATCTAACTGAGGTTCCTGGGAAGGCATGACCGAATCCTTGCAAAATACATAGGTTGTATAGGGGGAAAAAAGAAAATTGGTTTATGCAGTCCCTTTTAAGCGAGTATGTCTTGCCATGTAATACAATACAATGAGAACCTTACATTTGTATCTTCCAGAATAAAAACTGGATTTTGTAAAAAGTATTTCCAAATATTAACATTTTGTAATGCATTGTAGAAGTCAGCCTACCAAAAGCCTAAATGCTATGTCAACCATTCTCCACAACTACAACAGACACCTAGCTCTCTTCTAAAAGTAAGATTAGCATATTTTATTGCCAAGTTCAAACTTTAACTTTAAGACTTCTGAGTCTGTTTCACATGGAACTGCAAGACAGTAAACACTTCAGCATGATGTTACACACTCAATTTAGAGCACTAGCATATTCCTTTTCTGTTTAAAAACCAGGAATTGTTACTCATTATGCAAGGGTGTTGCATAAATTGGTAAAGATCACAATACCAAATAGTTTTATAGTACGTTTGGACACTGGTCTCATTCACAACTCACAATGAGACATGTAGGACCGTTGCAGTAGGTATAGCAACATGCATAAATAAGTTGGCAAAGAAACTAGTAATGTCAAGTCACATGCAATACCAATAAAGAAAAATACTGGTTAAACTTTTGAGTTAGAAAAAACACAATGCAACCACCAGTGAGATACTGGTTATAGTCTGCAATGAGGAAGGGCTCATCTCTCCCTGAGGAAGGGCTAAAATTCAGGGATACAGATTAATGGTTAAAGCCTAGGAAAGACACTAGCATTGCCAGTGGAATACATGAACAAAATGGAGAGGATGAGAACAGTACTGGAGAAACTGAGATGGCAAGAACATGAAAGCAACAAAGCCTTTTTGCAAGCAGTAGTGCAAAAAACACACAAATGCCTTAGTTCTTAAAACATTCCCACAGGCTAAAAGGAACAACACAAAGATTGTCAGTGGCAATTCTTTATCTAGCTGTAAAATACAATATGTCTACTGGAGAAAAACTCAAAACTTGCTCACACTTAAACCACACCACAAGTTTTCTTTTCTCACTTTGTCCCTACTGCTCACAGTCCAAAGGCTTATCCTCCATAGATATTTCAGAAGCTGAACACCAAATGCCACCAAGCGTCACAAACCTACAACCATGCGCAGCATTTAAGTACTTCGGATGCACATCTATCAACACAGGACACAATGAAGCATCTTAGCCTGATACAGAATGCGAACTTACCATATGCCTTTTGCAGGTCAGTGGAACAAGTATATGACAACGTTTATGGACCAACAGTTTGCAGTTGATACACTTGTAGCCTTGCCTTCCGAGACCCCATATCCTTTCACTGCACTGGCCACAATACGCTCTCTAAAAGCCAGAATGCATATTATAAATTCAATTATCAATTTCTTTCTGTAGGTGAGTAGTTACCCAGCAGCAAGAATCCACCCTAGTCACCTCCTAATAGATATTCAATAATAATTCTTCTAGAACATCTGGAGTTTCCCGAATAACTGAATGTTACACTTCATACTTAGAATTCAGCTACATGCAGTCCTTTTTTAATGAGTGTTAAGAAAACCAGTATCTCAAGCACACAGAACACATTACAGACTAACATTAGCAAATCATTCTTAGACAATAAGTGTATATTGTTCTGAAATAGGTTACCCAAAATTGACAGGAATTTATACTACACAATTATGCATAAAAAGCACCCAAACTGCTTTGGAGAACACTGGCACAAAATGTTAGAGACAAGTTCCAAGTACGAATAGCGTTCTATATCTGCACCTATATACTTCAGCAGTGGTAGAACATCAGCAGAAACTTTGCATAATTAGAACTCTTATCTATCAAGTCTGATATAAAACCTCTACTGGTTGCACTATTTAATATAAAAAATACATGGCCTTTTTTTATACATGCAACAAAATGGCAGCTGAATAATCAAAATGAGGGCAAATTAGGAGGCCAGACATTCTACCGCTGACTTTGACAGGGCAGGTCTTTAAATAAATTTTCCAGTGTATGTGTGCTATGGTCATTTTATTCACTTCACCCAAAGTGCCAAATAGCAATCTCAGATTCTTACATGCCAAGAAGTCACCTAGTCTCAGTTATCCCTCTACACAGTGCACAGGTTGCCAACAGAAGACTTATTCATTATTCCAGATCTGCAAATTTTCTCCAGTAATTACCGTAACAGGCTAAGACATTGCCTATCATTCTGCAAGCTGCACATGAAGTCCTGCACTAATCCCCCATTTCAGGCTTACACAGAACTCTGCAACTGTCCCAAAGCCACAAAACAGTGAAAGTCTGTTCCTCTCGGCAAACTGCAAGTTAGAGTGCGGTTATTCAGATCCTCAGACTAATGAATCACACACGGTGTCCTGCCCAAAAGTATTAAAGCTACCATAAACCCTTATTACTAGCAGTATTAGGAAAAAAGATTTAAAAAATAGATCAAAGAATGGATCGTTTTAAAAAAGGTTTTCTGTATTGCCCTTCTTATGCTTTGATAGTTGCAGAAAACAAAACTTAACTACATCCCATTCATCTATACATCGAGTCCTCTTTGATGAGGAGAAACCCCAACTACATTTTGGGGGAGGGGGGGAAATAAAAAAAACATACTGCCTAATAAGAGAGGAAGCCTTGGACATTTATAGTCACTTCTTTCAAAATTCCTGGTCCATCAGACTTCCCACTCTTGTATAGTTTTGGCAGCAATAATATTAAGACTAAATAAAATGTCTTAGGCCCTGGAAACTACATACAAGAAAATAAATCTCATTTACTTCAGTCAGATGCAGGGAAGCAAGAGGAAAAAAAAAAAAGGGGGGATGTAGGGGCAGCTCCCAAATTCCTTCAATAACACAGGTATCCCTCTCTAGCTCTCCAAAGTGCATACAAACACAGCAGTAAGAGTTAACCGTTATACCACGGTCAATAAGATTACAGTTTAGATCCTTGCATGTGTTCATTTACCTGAATTACCGGAAAAAGTTTTAAAAGGTTATTTTCAAAAAGGAATGAATTCTTAAGGTAATATTCAATATTATGAATGAATTCATAAGGTAGTATTCTAGCCTTAAAAATTCAGTCAACGTTAAAATTTGGTATCTAATTCAGTAACACACACATATGACCATAATTTATTATCAATTTATACATTTTAATATCTCATTTTACAGTTCACGTCAACTTTATTACTAACTTCAGTTGGACATGGTTTGTGTTATGGCTTTATACGATTTCATTTGTATACAGACAGTTATAACAAAGTAGTCTTGTTTAGGATTGTTCACAAATGGGCATACTAATGAGGTTTCAAAATCTGTATGCGTATACTCACTATTTGCCTGATTTCAATTAAAATATCATTATCTATAATATTATGTATTATTAATGTGACAGTTTGCATTCGCAACATTTCAAAGAAGTACGTTTTAACTATGTAGCAAATAAGCACAAAAAAGTGTATGTGTTTCATACTATAAATTAAAAAAATTGAGTTGGTACACCACATTATACAAATACATGTTATTCAGATATGTAACATTTTTCACAGATCTAGTGATAAGATACTGAGTTTTAAGGGGCTTTTCCTTCTTTCAATGCAGTTTCAGGATGGGAAGAAAAAAATGCTAGTTTCATTTAAAAAAATTGTTACTGCTGAATCAAAAAGTTAACTCACCTCACTGTATTCAGTTTTGTATGGAATTCCCAGAAATGTATACTACATTTTGTATATATGCTGCAATACTTAGGCATAATGGGATAACTGAAGGAGGAGTCTCAGCCTTAAAGCTATATTCCCTTGCTTATGTGGATTAAGTCAGATTCTTAATGCAGTTGTACTTTAGCTCACTAAACCAGATAATTTTTTTCTTAGTTAGATTATGTAATACCTCAGATTAAAAATAGTTAAAGCTAACATCAAGAGCTCAAATCTTTAACAACGACAAAAAGTACTGAAGGTAAAAGATTATGCTAACAAGCAAACAATCACATAAAGAGTGGAGAGGAGAAAAGCTGCTCTAAGTATGCATCAGTTTAAACAGTCACAAAACGAGGGGTTTTTTTAGAGACTTTAAAAATAATTTCCACTAATCACATATTATGAACTCCACCCCAGATTCAAAGACTTTCAAGTTTTTCTGATTGTTGACCTGAATAACACTGTATAGACCAAGAAGTCACATGAATAAGCATCTTGCTTTTCCTTTCTTTTCAACATTCAAATACAGAAAAAGCACAGACTGAGAAAACAATTACCACAGAACATTACCAAAACCCAACATTTTATGCAACAGTACTCACTCTGTTAAAACGTTTGGCTTGAAACAAATGCCCATTCACTCGGTACAGCTTCCTCCATCTTCTGGCTCCACGTCGGTAAATTGATTCTAAGAAAGAAATTAAAAAGGTGTAAAGCAGCAGCATAGTAGCACAGCAATACCAGACATGCTATGTTTAAGCAAGCTGCAACTTAAAACAATATTGCTTTTCTAAATATCAACACACAGCTAAAATCCCTGCTGGTTTGTTTTGGTTTTTTTTTTTTTTTTAAAAGGCAGCCATAAATGACAGCCTCTGCAGGATGCGCTTTCACTACTGCCTCTCCCTTTTCTCTATCCCTGTCTCTTTTTTCCTCACATGATCATAATCTTGTTACAGTTTCTTGGCTGCTTGCTGTTCAAGCTCAGGTGAGAGGGACAGATAACTGTTAAAGAAACAGCTTCCTCTGGTAAAATTACGATGCTGATCTCGCCATGTCACCTCATACATGAACACAGAAAGGATGTTTAGTGCTAATACTGCTTTAGATATGCAATATTAAAGATGCTACAAGTCTTGAGAGTTACATTATTTGACCTCATTTTTATCTTGCCATTAAACATTACCAAAGTATTTCTTCTGTTAGGGAAACAGTTCAGCTGCATGTCTGCAATGATTTCCAATATATTCTAAACATAACAACAAGAAATCATTTAATCTGTTTAAGCCGCACTTTCCAAGAGGCCATACATGATAGCACCTAGCATCTACACCAAATCTTTTTTGTTGTCACATTTCAGACACACATGTGCAATTTTTTTGTGACTGGCTAATTAGAGAATTTATACTTAATACTAAGTACTGAAAAATGTATTGTGCAACACCGGTACTATTTGGAGCTGCACACAGCTGTAATAGTGACAACAGCCAACCCCTGGCACATAACCAGGATCATGAGCTTTCCATAGCAGGCAATACAATTAGGTACTGGGTGGAATTGGAAGCAAAAGAAGAGGGGGGTGCGTTAAGCAAAAAATTCAGCAGTGATCTTAACACTGACAACACACTCCTGCTACCCAGAGGCTAAAAAATGAAAAACAAAGTCAGATTTGGCAAGATTTTCACTGCTGAATAATTAGTTCGAATTACACCTATTAAGAAATTCAAATTTGGAAGTTCTCGAAGTTTACCGTAATATTTAAAGTTAACAAGCATATTTTAGACAGCGAAACAAGTCTGACACGTCCCCTTAAACATTTCCAAGACAAGTATTTTACAGTGTTTTTATGGGTGTTCTAATATCCTCTTACTTGAAACAGAAATGTGAAAGACTAGTATAACTTTTATTTTTATATCATTATTTTAAAGCTATCTCCAAAAACACGATGATAAGATTTTCCAATAAAAAGTTTTATGTATGCCTTTTTAAAAACAAACTGTTTATACTAGTTATAATGCAACTTAACCCAGTTGGCAGCTTGTACAAAATGTATTTCACCTACTTTGAACAGAAAAACCAGTAACTACAGCAGTTACATATGGAATGAAGGACGAAACAGCATAGGAAGTATAAATAACTCTGAGAAAACAACAGCAAAATATACACTTTTACAGTATCTTGTGGGTGGCTACATATATGCTATATTTGGTACCTAGGTACACTGGTTCTGCCAACCCAAACAACTCAGTTTTGTAATAAGTAATTGTATTTCATCAATATAAAATGATCCTCGCTTATTCCCTGTCACCTTAACAGGGTCTATGATATCGCTTAATTTTTCTCTTCTAGAAGAGTTGCAACTTCTGTGAGAATCTCAATCAGGAAGCTGAACAGGATGGGGGGGGTGATGATGTGGTTTTTTTGTTTGTTTGTTTTTAAACTGAGAGTCCAGTATTATGTTAGCAGCTAATGCTATCCTTTAATCAGTCTAATACAAGTGAAACAATCTGTAACAACCAATATCATATGTAGAAAAATATGTAACCCAAATGCCCCAGACAACACAGCAAAGAACATTTACTATAAAAACTTTGATAGACTCGATTGATAAGCATTGCCATGTTCTGACAAGATATTGAACTGTGAATTTATAATCCTCAGAAGTTAATGCAAAGCCATCTTAAAGTTTATTCTTGTTTCTGTCTTAAGTTTTAAACGGTTATATTTTAAATACCCACACCTTATCAAAGGTGAAGTCTTTTTTAATTGTGTTATTAAAAACCCAAACATTTTCACCATCAAAAGGTAACACAAGTAGTAGATAGATAGTTTATTTGTTGAAAAATTATTTTAACTTAATATTGAGCAAGCCAAAAAAAAAAATCACAGGGTGCTGACATACAATGTATGAACACTGATTGTAATACTGATTTTAGATACTCTATTTTTGTCCTTCAAAAGCAAGGCAAATAAAAGTACTGAAGTTTCTGTGACTCCACAAACCTGCAGTGCCAAATCCACAAACATTCACCTTACTCTATTCACATGTGCAAATGTTTACTTTGCAAGTGTTTGAAACAGACATTGCACTATTAAATGAATTGTGAAGAATTTGGAAAAAAAACAACTTCTCAAAGGAGCTGAAAGACTGCATGCCATAGAAGTGGCAAAGATACAGTCACTAGAATAGAGGTGTATCACTTGATATGTTTGACTCACATAGCTCTTCAAAATCTGCCAAATACAAACTTTAAAGCAACAAAAACCCCTGCTTTCCTAAGTGCAAAAAAATTTAAATGAGAACCTTGCAAAACTATTGCAAAGTTTTTGCCTAAAAATATGCTCAAACACAAAAGCATCAATGAAAGACTGTTCCACCATTTGTAGGATGACTTTTCACCAAGAGGAAAAAAAACAAACCTTCACAAGGATTTTGTCCAAAATAGCTAATTGATTCATTAGACAAAGCACCATATGGAGGCAAGCTAATACATCTGTGTTCTGAACATTAGCTTATCACTGACATGAGGAGTATTAAGTGAATGAAAAGTTAACAAGCAGCTTGGGCTGATGAAGTCTGTAAATAAAGGAGCAAGTCACTTCCCTAATTAATGATAAATATTAAATCAAAGTCAAGGTTTTACAACATATACTTGTGAGGCAACAGCGTAACAAAACCTGAGCTTATTATAGCATAGCTTTAAAAAAGTAGGAACCCCTACAGTCTACCACTATGACTGCCACTGATTCAGCATACAGTCTAAGGCAAACCAATTCCTATTTCCCATCTCTAAAAGGGGCTAAGGTAAAAAAAGAGAAAACAGCAGTCATTGCAAGACACACCTTTATATCACTAGTTCTGCTATTTTTATTATTGTTACACAATGAGATCAAATTTATATGACAGAACAGTATGTTCTTAGTATCATCAATACTAGTACTCATGTCTAACTCCTATCCAGTCAGTGGCACAAAGTTTAGCTGGAGTCCAGCGACCATCAGCACACCAAAACTGACAACAGTAGCTCCAATTCTGTTCAACATCCTCCTGAATGATCTGCATGGGGCAGAGCATACCCTCAGCAAGTTCACCGACAGCACAGAACTGGGAGGAGTGGCCGATACAGCAAATGGCTGTGCCAGAGATCTCAACCTCTGGAGAACCAAGCGGCAGGAACCTCGTGAAGTTCAAAGGAAAGCGCAAAGTCCTGCACAAAGGGAGGAACAACCCCAGGCACCAGTATATGCTAAGGGCCAGGCAGCTGGAAAGCAGCTTTGAAGAAAAGGAGCTGGGGGTCCTGGTGGGCACAAAGTTGAACACAAGCCAGCAATGTACCCTTGTGGCAAAGGCAGCTAACAGTGTCCTGTTTTAGGACCTGTTTTAGCCTGTGTTTAGGGCTGTGTTAGGAAGAACAGTGCCAGCAGGTCAACGGAGGGGATACTTCCCCCTCTACTCAGCACTTGTGAGGCCACATCTGGAGTAGTGTGTCCAGTTTTGGGCTCCCGAGTACACGAGAGGCATGGTGCTAATGGAGAGAGACCAGAGAAGGGCCATGAAGACGATTAAGGGACTGCAGGACCTCTCATATGAGGGAAGGCTGGGCGAGTTGGGACTGTTTAGTCTAGAGAAGGCTCAGAGACATCTCAGTGTGTACAAATACCTGAAGAGAAGGTGTAACCAAGACTGAGTCAGACTGTTTCCAGTGGTGCCCAGTGACAAGACAACAGGCAGTGGGCACAAACTGAAACAAATCTGAACATCAGGAAACACTTCTTCACAGTGAGGTTCACTGAGCACTGGAACAGGTCACCCAGAGAGGTTGTAGAGATATTCAAAAGCCATCTGGACATGATCCTGTGCAACCTGCTTAGACCTGGAACCTACAGACCTGGACTAAAGTGTGTATTCTATGTATCTAGTAATGCACTAATGTAACAGGACACTCTCCTTTAAAATTTGCTTACAGCTAATGGCAGATTATAAAAAGGAGTTTGGGGGTTTTAGTATCATTATTACTTTGAAGCATTATCAGCTTCAAAATCCTAACTAGAGCTATACTATACCAAACAGACCATCCTGAACAATAAACAGGTTCTTAAAATGGCAATAAGTATGTATCTTGAAATAAGAAACAAAAAAATCTATCAGTGTTCTTTGTAATGTGTGAACAAAGCTCTAACCTTAGTATGCATTTCACCCCTACACTTCATACGGGAAACACATACTTCTGAACCTGAAACCAAATGTTTTGGTATGTGTTTCTAGAACACTTTAGATGAAAACAAATAAGGGATCCTGTGATTCTTGATAACTAAGAACTACCAAAAAGTTTTTACAGCCACGCTTGATCCCAGCCACCTACAAAAAGGAATGCCATCACAATACCATGAGTATTTAATTACTATGTTTAGTGAAAATGGCTACTTCTTCATTTATTTTACAGTACAGATCAATTAACTCATTAAGGACTTTGAGTTAGCTGCTTGGAGGCTGAAGGAGATATCATACCCCTAATTAAACAAAGTAATCTTTCCTCTCTGATGGGTATTAAAGACAAGCCTTCACCTAACAAAAAAGAAAGAATTGAATATTCGCCTTGTATGTGAACAAGTTTTACATTTTAATACATTTTAAGCTGCTAACAGGGATAACAAGTTTTTATTGGGAAACACATACACATGCTAGTT